TCCCAACTTCCTCTTTGATCCTGGGGCCCAGGATACATTTAGGGCACAAGGCACTATTCTTTCTTTGAGTCTTACTTACAAAAACATTGTCATATTAGCTCTAGTCTGATCCTCTCCTTCTAACTCAGGGTGGAGTGGGGTTAAGGTTAGAGTACTCTGTAGTATCCTACAGAAACTAAGGGCAGATTGTCATCTTCTTGGGTCCCATAAAGCCCCTTAGTCATACAGGAATACTTTTATACGTTATTTTATAGGCTATTAGTACCAAATTCGCATTAGCCCTATCCAGTCCTCTTTGTTGACATCCTCATGATGATAAACTGAAGGATCTTGAGTTTCATTTTTGTTCAAATACACAGATGAGGAAACTGAAAAGGGCTGCCTTTTCATTTAAATAATTTAAATAATCACAAGAGGATTTTCTAATAGCCGTCTTGGATCTCTTATGAAATCACCTGTGATTTCTATTTTTTCTACCTCTCCCCAGGGTCTTGCCCATTCCATAACTGATTTTCAAGCCCCTTTTCCTCCTCTGAATCTTATGATTGTATGGTGACAACACTGGTTAATGTCACCCAAACTGACCTCTTCCCATACCAGAATTTACTGAATCCTTAGTAGTGTTTATTTTCAATTTTAATCATAGAATAAGGATATTAGTATAGTTGTAAATGATGAAAAGCAGTATTTCATAGATTATATAAATAATAACAGCAAAACTGTTTTGTAAAATCATTCTACATTAAATTACAACATTATTCGTTTGAACATTATTAGTAATTGAGCAATTTTTTTCTTCATTTTCCTTTATTACTACTCCATTCTCAAAAAAGTTAATCATACAGGATAACAAATGCTGATTGTGACAATATTGTAGCTAGAGTAAAAGAAAATTTGACAAAATCAGCAACTATTAAAAAACACCAGTAGCAATGAAAACACCATGCTTGGACAGACAAAACCATGTGATTCAAAGTGTCATTGTAATTGGATAATAATGACAGCTTTGACTTTAGCCTTGTAGGTTTATTAATGCACGTAATCTGGGCTCATGAAAACTGTTTTTTTCTTATTGTAAGGAACTATGGGAATACTTTTATAAAAATAATAAATTTCTGCTGAACCACTGCACAAAAATGTTATACAGGTCATTGTGGCATCACCCCATGAGATAGTGTCACCCAATACATTCTATACCCCAGAACCCCTCTTAGGAACCCACTGTGTCTGTGATGGTTCCCTTGACCCTCACTGTTGGAACTCTATTATCAAATCTAAGTGATGCAATTAATTCTTATTGTAGCTTTTCATGTTTACAAATAAGTTTGAATTGTACAAACTTTTGTCCATAATGTGCTCCTTTCACATGTGTTCAAAATTTCCTCAAATTCCAGCAACATGCAACTCTTTTCTAAGAGAAAATACATTTTTTTTAACTCCAGCAATGTTATAATTTATAACCTAACATTTCTAATATAATAATACATTAAAGCTGAATTTTTGCTTAGATACAATAGAAGTGAATTTGAAAACTATAGACCAAATCTCCTTAATTTTCACATAGCAAAGGCCAAGACAAAAATAAGAATCCTTGCAACTAAACACAGTCTATGAAACCAGGTCACAGAGTAAAGCTCAAGAGTATTTTGTGAGAATAGCTTTGGAGTATTCACTGTAGAAAGTTCCCGATGCCTTGTCCCACTATGAGAGTAGAGGTACTGCTTGTCAACTCAGTACTGATTTCTTATATGGTGGTGGTGGTGGTGGTGGTGGCTGTGTGCCACTGAACTGGTTCGGACTCGAAGAATCCCTGTATAGAGTTTTTGAGGCTGTAAATCTTTGTGGAAGTAGAAAACCTCATTTTTCTCCCCCTGAATGAGCGGTAGATTCAAACTAACTGACCTTGCAGTTAACATCGCAGCTAGCAGGGCCCCTTGATTTTATATATATTTCTTTTTCTTTTTTTCTGTGAAAGGGCAAGTGTTTGGAGCTGTTGGCACTATCATTTGACTGCCATGATTCCCCTGCTTTAATATTTCATTGTCTTTCAATTGAGGATCATACTAAATGTTCCAATCAAATGTATGTGTCTGTGTGTATGTGTGTGTGCTCTTGCATGTCTGTGTACCTGCATGCTGGAAGGGCACTTCCAGAGTGCTATTCTGATAGACTACCATGTGATTCTTCAAATAGGTGGGCACACGGGACTGAAACCAAAAAATCTAGACATAAAGCTAGAGTAGATAACAAATGGCATCAGTGTAGGATTGTACAATAAGGGAGGCTCACGTACAGATTTTCAAGGTATCATTTTCTAGCCTATCAAATTCTCATATTCGAATAACAACAACATTGATTCTCTAAGTTTACAGTCTCTTATGGACTCACTGATTTGGTGCCATAAGATAAGCACTAGACTGCTAAAAGTTGACAGTTCAAACCTGCAAGCTGCTCTTCGGAAACCCTACACAGGATCACTATGAGTCGCTATGAGACAGAATGAACTTAACAACAACAATGGACTCACTCATGTTGATTAAATCCATGAAATACTAGAATAAAACCTAGAAAAGGAATTTGGTAAACACATGTGTACACAATCATCCTGTCATTAATTAGTACATTTCTTTCTGGAAAAGAATGAGTACAGGGGTTAAATTACCAAGTGAAGAGAGTCAGATTTATATAGACTTTAATAAGGATCAGTATGCTGTAGTTGTTAAAGTGCCATCCAGTCAGTTCCAACTCATAGCAACCCTGTGGAGGGTTTCTAAGGAGTAGTCCACTGGGTTTGAACTGAAAATCTTGCATTTAAGAATCCACTGCTTATCATACAATGTCACAACAGGACTCCAAGGATCAGTATGGTGGTGGTGTGACACCGAGTCAATTACAACTCATAGTGACCCTTCATAGGGTTTTCAAGGATGCAAATCTTTACAGGAGCAGAAAGCCTCATTTTTTTCCCATACAACAACTGCAGAATTTGAGGTGAGCAGCCTCATTACCATGCTATCAGAGTTCTTTAGGATTAGTATAGGTTGCTTGAAATAATATTTCTGTAGTTAAATGAAATCCTCTCAGAATATTAAATGTGTGTATAATGAATATGTTGTTGTTGATTCTGACTCATAATGACCCTGTATAGGATTTCCAAGGAGCAGCTGGTGAGTTGGAACGGCTGATCTTGTGGTCTAGTGCTTATCATACAGTATCACACCAGAACTCTTTAATGAATATATATCTGTATATGTTTATTGCTGTTAAGTGCCATGGAGAGTTGGTTCTGATTCATAGAAATCCTGCAGAGGATTTCTGAGAAGTGACTTATGTGTATGAACCACTGACCTTACAATTTGCAGTCCAGTGATCATCTTACAGCTCCCTATATTTTTATATAGAAACACTCAATATACAAAATACATATGTATATAAAAACATATATTTATATATGGTGATGGTGTGCCATGAAGTCAATTCTAAATCATAGTAATCCTGCATAGTGTTTCCAGGGGTTAACAATCCAACTCATAATCACTATGCTACCAGATATATATATATATATATATATATGGAGCTTTGGTAGCGTAGTGGTTACGAATCGGGCTGCGAACCGCAAGGTCAGCAGTTCGAAACTACCAGCTGTTCCGCGGGAGAAAGATGAGGCTTTCTGCTCCCGTAAAGATTTACAGCCTCGGAAAGCCTGTACAGGTTCGCTATGAGTCGGAACCGACTCCACGGCACATAACAACAACAACAAATATATATATATATATGAGTCTTTCATGGCACTGGACAGCTAATCACAAGGTGAGAGGTTCAAACCCACTAGTCACTCATTGGAAACCCTATACAGGGTCACTATCATTCAGAATCAATTCAATGACACACCACCACACATAACACATATGTTGTTGTTGTTGTTAAGTGCTATCAAGTTCTTTCCAACTCACATTTCATGTACACGGTTTCTGAGGAGCAGTTAGTGGGTTTGAACAGCTGACCTTGTGGTTTTCAGTACAGTGCTGATCCTACAGAGCCTACAGACCAGAAGAGTATGTGTATATATATGCATGTGTCAGTCCATCTCGTTGGTGGTTGTCCTGTTTTTCACTGACCCTCCACTTAACCAAGCATGATCGATCATGATGTCCTTCTCCAGGGACTGGGTCTCCTGTTCAAAGTATGAAAGACAAAGTTAGACCAGACTAGCTTTTAAGGAGTATTCTGTTTGTACTTATTCCTACACACATTTGTTTTTTCCTTTGACAGTCCATGGTACTTTTAATATTCTCCTCCAACACCACAGCTCAAGTGCATCAATTCTTCTACGGTCTTATTTATTCATCGACCAACTTTCACGTATGTAAGAGGTTATTGAAAATACCATGATGTGGATCATACGTGACTTAGTCCTCAAACTGACATCTTTGGTCTTCATCACTTTAAAAAGGTCTTGTGCAGAAGATTTACCTCATGCAATACATTATTTGATTTCTTGCCTAATGTTTCCTTAAGTGTTGATTGTTGATTAGAGCAAAATGAAGTTTTAAATAACTTTGATCTTTTCTTCATTTATCTTGATATTACTTATTGGGTCCAGTGCTGTGGATTTTGTTTTCTTTACATTGATGTGTAATTTATACTGAAGGCTGTGGTCTTGATCTTCACAGTAAGTATATTAAGTCCTCTTCACTTTCAGCAAGGAAGATTTTATAGTCTGTATATAATAGGTTGTTAATGAGTCTTCCTCCAGTCCTGATGCCACAATCTTCTTTATATAATCCAACTTCTTGAATTACTTGCTCAGCATATAGATTGAGTACGTATGGCTAAAGAAACCCTATACAGGCTCACTAAGAATTGGAACTGACTCCACCACACTCAACAACAACATGTGTGTGCATTGTTTCCTGATAGGGCTACGTTCTTTATTGTCTATGTAAGAAAAACTAAGGTACTATACATTGCATTTATCACATTTTATTTATCTACTACAGTTATAATTTGCTACACCATAGCTTCTTCATGGCATTTTTCACTTCTGCATTCCTCAGTGTATAAATCAGAGGATTGAGCAAGGGTGTCCCAATTGTGTAAAACACAGCCACCGTCTTATCAACTGGAAATGTGGTTGGTGGGCGTGTGTATATAAATATACATGGGCCAAAAAATATGACAACTACAATAAAGTGGGAGGTGCAGGTAGAAAGAGCTTTTCGTCTTCCTTCAGCACTGTGATTTCTCAATGAATATAAAATGACAGCATAGGACATAAGCAAGAGTATGAAACTCACCATGCAGATGACTCCACTATTGGACACAACTAGCAAATTTATCACATATGTGTCCATGCAGGCAAGTTTCAACAAGGGCTGCAAGTCACAGAAATAGTGATCAATTACATTGGGACCACAGAAAGGCAATTTCAAAGCCAGTAAAATCTGAGCTGAAGAATGGATACAAGATCCCACCCAGGCCAGAATCACCAGCACAATGCAGACATGACGGTTCATGATGGCTGTATATCTCAGGGGCTTACAAATGGC